AAGTGTCTGTTCAGGTCCTTGGCCCATTTGTTGATTGGGTTATTTGTTATCTTATTGTCTAATTTTTTTGAGTTCTTTGTATACTCTGGATATTAGGGCTCTATCTTAAGTGTGAGGAGTAAAGATTTGTTCCCAGGATGTAGGCCCTTTATGTTCTTAATCACTTCCTTTACTGTGCAAAAGCTTTTAATTTGGTGGCATCCCACTTATTGATTCTTGGTTTTATTTCCTGAGCTTTAGGAGTCTTGCTGAGGAAGTCAGTGCCTGCACACCTATATGATGGAGTATTGACCCAATGTTTTCTTCTAGCAGTTGCAAATGTTTTCTTCTAGCAGTTGCAATGTTTTCTTCTAGCAGTTGCAAATTCCTGAAGATTTGATCCATTTCAATTTGACTTTTGTACAAAGTGTTAGACAGGAATCTAATTTCATTCTTCTATAGTAGGATATCCAGTTTTCCCAGTATCATTTGTTTAAAAGACTATCTTTTCTCTAGCGTATATTTTTGGCACCTTTGTCAAGTATGTCAGATGGCTGTAAGTATATGGGTTTTTTTCCTGAATCTTCTATTCTGTTTCGCTGGTCTTCATGTTTATTTTGTTTCTGATGCCATGCTGTTTTTGTTACTATAGCTCTGTGGTATAATTTGAGATCAGGTGTTGTCCTACATCATTTTTCTTGTTCAGAATTGTTTTGGCTAATCTAGGTTTTTTCTTCTTCCAAATAAATTTAAGGACTGTTTTTCTAGTTCTGTGAAGAATGCCATTGGTATTTTGATGGGGATTGCATTGAATCTGTATATTGCTTTTGGTATTGTGGCCATTTTGGTGGTATTAATTCTACCTATCCAAGAACATGGCAGGTCTTTCCATCTTCTAAGATCTTCTTCAGTTTCTTTCGTTGGTGTTCTATAATTTTCATTGTAGAGATCTTTCACCCCCTTGGTTAGATTAATTCCCAAGGTTTTTTTGTTTTGTTTTTTTCAGGTTTTCCTGATTTCTTTCTCTACAGAATCATTGGAACATAGGAAAGCTGTTGATGTATAAGTGTTGATTTTTGTACCCTGCTACTTTTCTGAATTAATTTATTAGTTCCTGAAGTCTTTTGGTGAAGTTTTTTGGGTCTTCTTAAATAATAGGATCCTGTCATCAGCAAACAGAGAAAGTTTGACTTCTTTTCCTATTTGTATCCTTTTAACTTCTTCTCTTACTCTGGTTAGAATTTTAAGAACTATATTGAAGAGAAGTAGTGAGAATGGACATTGTTGTCTTGCTCCTGGTTTGCTAATATTTAATTTTATATTGGTCTGTAGTTTTCTTTCCTTGTTGTGTCTTTCTCTTGTTTTGGTGTCAGGTCTTTACTAGCTTTATAGAAWGTATATGAAGTGTTCCCTCCCTTTAAGTTTCATGGAGTATTTTGAGAAATGCTGGTGTTAGTTCTTTAAAGGTTGGTAGAACTCAGCTGGGTATCCATCTGGTTCTGGATTTTTCTTTGTTGGAAGGCTTTTAATTGCTGTTTCAATTTCATTACATGATATTGGTCAGTTTAGGTTCTATCTCTTTTTTGGGGCAGGGGGATTGACTAAGGGTTTATCAGTGTTATTTATCTTTTTGAGAACCAGATCTGTTGCACTGATCCTGTGTATGTTTTTATTCTCAATTTCATTAATGTCAATTCTGATCTTAATTATTTCCTGTCTTCTACTGAGTTTGGAACTAGTTTATTCTTCCTTTTCTAGGGTCTTGAGCTAGAATATAAATTATTTATTTGGGATTTCTCTATTTTTTTTTAATGCAGGTACTCAGTGCTATAAATTTTCCTCTTAGAGCTGTTTTAATATTGTCCAAAGATTTTATTTTGTATCTCTGTTCTAATTTGTTTCTAAGAATTTTTTGATTTCTTCACTTATTTCTTCTGTGTTCCATTTTTCATTTAAAAGAGTATTGTTCAATCTCCCTGTGTTTATGTTGTTTCTATTATTTTTCTTGTTGATTTCTAGTTTCCTTCCATTGTGATCTGATGGGATGCCTGGGATTATATCAACCTTTTTGTATTTGCTAAGACTTATACTGTGACCTAGAATATGGTCTGTTTTGGAAAAGATTCCATGAGCTGCTGAAAATAAGGTAAATTCAGCTGTTTAGGGTGAATGTTTTGTAGGTGTCAGGACCATTTGATTTATAGTATAAAGATGGTAACTTATTGATTGATTTTATGTTTGGATGACCTATCAATTGGTGATAGGGTATGTTGAAATCACCCAATATTATTATAATGGAGTTTATCTGGGATTTAATGTCAACAAGTATCTCCTTGTTGAACTGTTCCCTGTACCAGGTACAGTGGCCTTCTTTGTCTCTTCTGATGAATTTTTGCTTGAAATCTGCTTTGTTAGATATAAGACTAGCTACTCCTGTTTGTTTTGGGACTCATTTGGGTGAAATATGTTATTTTCCATCTTTTTACCTTCATCCTGTGGGTATCTTTGCCTGTGAGGTAAGTTTCTTGCAAACAGCATATTGTTGGATCCTGTTTGTTTATTGATTCTGCGAATCTTGGTCTTTTAATTGGGGAGCTGAGACCATTTACATTCAATGTTATTATGGATATTTGTAGTTTTCTGCCATTTTAATTCATTTGCTATAATTAATTCAGTCTTGATTTTTGGTTACTCTTCTAGTGCTCTTCATCTTAAAATTCATTATTTTAGAAGTTAACTTTGGTGTCTACCGTGTAACAGGCACTTTCACAAATATTAACTCATTTAATCCTCTAAAGTACATTAAATCGTTCCCATATTGTATATAAGGAAACAGAGTCAGAGATCATACTGCTGCTCTGACTAGAAAAATTCTGAACCATCATGCCATTGTATAGATAACTTTTTGAAACCTTTAGTTGAAGGAGCTCTACTACATCATTTATCTACTTCATGTTCATTTTCTCTCTCTCTCTCTCTCTCTCTCTCTCTCTCTGTTTAAATTTTATTTTATTTTTATTTTTTTGGCATTAGAGGTTGAACCCAGGGTCTAGCATATATCAGGCAAGAGCTCTACTATTGAACTACATCCCCAGCCCTAATTCTTGTTCTTAATAATGCAAGCAAGGAAATCATCAAGGAATCATACTTTATTGTATGGTAAAAGAGAGTACTAAGTAGGTTTATAGAGCTTTATCTGTAACACAATGTCAGCATAATTTTTCTGCCCTAACATGCCTAAAAAATATAGAACACATCTTCTCAGTAGTCATGGTGATTTTTACTGCACTGTTCTCAGCCAGGAAGTATGGGCTTTATGGAAAGAAGTTATAAAGGAGAAAATAACATTTTGAAATTTGAGAAAACTTCTCAAATAATTCTGTACTCTAGGGGAGAGGGTGTTTCCTCCCAGCTTCTTTGAGTAGTAATAAGAGATCTGAGCAGTAATAAAATCTGTCCTTTTGGTTCAGTATATGCCATCTTCTCTTTGAAGTTCTTATCACACTTCTGCTTGAAATTTAAAACTCCTTTGGTCCAAAGCTGCTTTCTGTGTGTCTGTTTATGTGTAAGTTACCTGAGAGACTAGAAGTCAGCCCTAGGTCTTCATATTTCTCTGCAACAATTAACCTGTATCTTACAAACACCCTTTATATGGTTTGTATTAAATAAGTACTTGGGAATAGTATTCCAAACTTAGGGATAATTCTGCCTAAAATAGAATTGATTTACAAATTTCTTTGGAGTGGGTGTTGTTCTGATTGGATTTAAATTATTAAATTCCTTGCATGTAAAATATCCATTTCTATTCAACTCAAAGGACAAACTATCAGATAATTCTTTTGCCATTGTTTGTCACTTATCTCAGATCAGAACCAAATTCATCAAGACTTTATAGCCATTTACTCTTTTTTTTTTTTTTTTTTTCCTTTTGAGATTGGAGTCTCACAATGCTGCCCAGGCTGGTCTTGAAAACCTGGGCTCAAGCAATCCTGCCTCAGCCTCCCAAGTAGCTGAGACTACAGATGTGTGCCACTACACCTAGCTCTTCTAGTTTTTTGTTTCTTTTTTAACTTATTTTTGTTCTTCTCCCCCCCCCCATGCCTTTGTTTTTTAAATTGCGTTTGTTGACACTTCAGTGGCTTGATAAAAAAAAAAAAAAAAAGGAACAGGGGCTTGGATTGTGGCTCAGTGGTGGAGCATTTGCCTAACATGTGTGAGGCACTGGATTCAATTCTCAGCACTGCATTTAAAAAAATAAAATAAGAGTCCATTGACATATATATATATATATATATATATATATATAAAAGAAAAGGAACATTTTTATTCATTTGTCTAGGGTGGAGTGATGAATTGACTGTTGGATTGTAAACTTGAATTGGCAGTAGGTGTGGTGGTGATAAAAAACACTCATGGATTTATATAGTTCTTTTCCTCACCAAAGGAGTTKGTCTTTCTTATCTGAGTAATATATTAGCTCATCTAAAGATATTCACCTTTTCATTTATTTTTCTGTAAGTATTTATTAGTATTTTTTTTCACTAAAAATCTTCATTTTTAAAAAAGTTGAAAATGAGGGGCTGGGGATGTGGCTCAAGTGATAGTGCACTCGCCTAGCATGCATGAGGCACTGGGTTCGATTCTCAGCACCATATAAAAACAAAATAAAGATATTGTGTCCAACTACAACTAAAAAATAAATATTAAAAAAAGTTGAAAATGTTGTTTTATTTGCATCAGACCAAAATAATTAATTAATAATATGGCTTTTTTTTCTTACGTTTTTAGGGATTCATTTTTCTTTTTCATTTTGGAGATACTAGGGCTTCATCCTAGGGGTCCTCTACCATTGAGCTACACCCATAGCCCTTTTTATATTTTAAGACAGGGTCTTGCAAGTTGTCCAAGCTGTCCTGAAACTTGTGATCTTCCTGCCTCAGCTTCCTGAGTAGCTGGGATTAAAGACCTGTGCTATTGCACCTGGCTTCTAATAATAGTTTGATTTACCTCCTCAGGAAATATTTAAGTAAATAAAATACTTTTGGGAAAAAAGACAAACAATTATTTATTTTAGTCTTCTTTTTTTTTTTTTTTTTTTTTTTTAGGACTAAGGATGGAACTCAGGGCTACGCATATTGGCAAGCACTCTGCCACTGAGCTAAATCCCCGACCCCATTTATCTTGGTCTTATGAGATATACCAGTTAATCATTTGTAGTCTTAGCACAGTTGAGACTCTGTTACTGGAAACCTTTTTTGAAGCATGGAAAAGAGACCAGTGCTCTAATTAATCTGTACACATTTTACTATGTCAGGTTATGATTTAAACTTTGTTTTGGGGGGATGTTGATAGATTTCTTCTTATTGGATTGCCATGTGTTGTTATAGCCTATATCAGAAACGAAAGTAATATTAAAATTTGGAAAATAGCAATTTCTAAACCTTTTCTTTATTCTTAAGTTCTTTCTCTTTTTGGTTTTAGGTAATGGATGATGAATCAGATGAAAAAGAAGCAAACTCACCATAAAATAATATGGCATTTCTTTGAGTACAACAATTGGACTTATTGATAATATATACCAAGCTGTTGTTATTAATATGCTAAGGAACTTGAGGAGTAATAAAAAATGCCCATTCCTCAGAGAATGATATATAAATGTTGCATGTTTGCTTTACCTCACATGAATTATTTTTAACATCCTGAGTCATCTTCTGTACATGTGGATTTTGTCCAGGGATATTTTTATTTTTGTTCCTCATTTCTCATGGTGCCTTCTTTGCTCAGTATATGAACCAGCATTTAAAATACATTTTTCCCCATCTGATTTACTTACAGTTTTTATACAGAAGTAAATAAGGAGAATGTTTTTAAAATATTCTAAAACGGATTAACTTTTTTGTGAGATGTCTAAAACTGTTTAATGGTTCTGGTTTTAAAATGTTATCTGGCTAGTAGCCACCAGTGTAACAGCATATAACTTCTTGATGAAAGACCAAAAATGTTTTTATGTTACAACTTTAAAAAAGTCACATTGGAAGCTAGGGATATAGTTCAGTGGTAAGGCACTTGCCTAGCATATTTTTTTTAAGAGAGAGAGAGAGAGAGAATTTTAATATTTATTTTTTAGTTTTTCGGCAGACACAACATTTGTTTGTATGTGGTGCTGAGGATCGAACCTAGGCCGCATGCATGCCAGGCAAGTGCACTACCGCTTGAGCCATATCCCCTAGCATATTTGAAGCACTGGATCTGATGCACAGCGCTACAAGATAAATAAACAAACTGAAAATTCAAGGACTAGACACACTTTCAACTGGTTATAAGACAGAGCTGAATTGAGAGAAACTGCAGAATCTCAGAAAAAAAGGGAGAGAGACTGCTTTGGTCTTTCTTCCATAATCTTCTGATTCAGAGAGCCATACATTACTTTTAAAATATAAAAGCTGTATTAGTTAATACTAGTTTCTGTGTCATGTCAGAAATTTGAAGTTATTTCTTCACCACAGGGGTTACTACTTTTTGGATAGCCAAAATAACATATTAGCCTTCCCTCCTTTTTCTATAGTAATTCAGAGATAGAAGTTCACCAAAAATACCAGGGAGGTGGTGGGGAGGTAAATAGCAATGATACATTGCATTTACAGGGATTAAGATAGATTTGGAGTGTAACCATCATTTGACCCAGCTATCCCCACTCCTCAGTTTATACCCAAAGGACTTAAAAACAGCATACTATTCATAATACTTAAATTGTAGAACCAACCCAGATGCCCTCCAGTGGATGAATGGATAGGGAAACTTTGGTGTATATACACAATGGAACATCACTCAGCATTAAAAGAGAATAAAATCATGGAATTTGCAAGTAAATGGATGGAGTTGGAGAATATAATGCTAAGTGAAGTAAGCCAGTCCCAAAAAACCAAAGGCTGAATGTTTTCTTTGATATGAGGATGATAACTCATAATGGCAATGGTGGGGGAGCATGGGAGGAATGGAGGAACTTTAGATAGGGCAAAGAGGAGGGAGGGGAAAGGAGAGAGCAAGATGGTAGGAATGAGAGTGGAATGAGTTAGACATCATTACCATAAGTACATGTATGAAGACACAAATGGTGTGAAAATACTTTGTATACAACCAGTGACTTGAAAAATTGTGCTCTGTATGTATAATCTGAAATGAATTGCATTCTGCCATCATGTATAATAAATTAGAATAAATAAATAATTTAATAAAGGAAAAAAAACAGGAAGAACTCTTTAACAGTTGTGAATGTTGGGAATTAAAGTTTTTATTTTTGTCTTTTGGTTCWTAGGACCAGATGGTAAGGTTGGAGAATTTATTTCCTGGGCTATTATAGATGAATTCAGGCAGGACACTGGATATTACTTTGTAAGCTACCTTAACAAGACTTTTACTTGAGGCTACAAGAAATTGATATTTTGGGAGAAAAGTAATTAAGAAATCTTAGATATGGCCTGGAATAAGTGACTAAGTGTGTGGAGGATTTGATTATTAGAAGACAGGAAATCATGAAACGGAGAGGGCAGTGTATTAGAAACATTTCCTTACACAAATTAGCAGCCATGAAAAACAAGGAAATGTGAAGAAAGAACATTGTAGGCATAAGGAGCAATGCATTCAGAATCAGAGGTATGGAATGTATTTGGGAACTGGAAAATGCTAAGAATGGCTTAAATGTAAAGTAGATGTGCTTAGCTAGAAATGGTGCAGAAGTAGCAGTGGGCAGTGTGGAGAGTGCTGCACAGAGTCCTGGTTGCCAGCCCAACATATATCCCCAGTACTTGCTAAGAGAGGCCCTCTTAGTTACCAGTTCATGGTAACATGCCCAGGGAATGCCCACCTATGTCGTGGGATTAAGGTCCTGTGTTAATCCCAGGACATAGGTGACAGTTAATCTAACACAATCATTTAACACTATTTCTCATTGTCAGTCATTACTGTAGTGGTGAACGTATGACCCAGCCTTGGCCAGTGAGCTATAAGAAAATCTGTTGTAGAATTCTGGAAAGATTTCCTAATTTCCTTCCCTGATTAAGTTAATCTCTAGAAAGAAAACTTCTTTCTTCCATTCCCAAAGCGGTGACAATCAACTTGTAATCATAACAAAATAAACAAAAATATCAGTCCACTGAGAATGTCACAGATAGAAAAAAGTGGGGAGGGATCCTTAAGGCTATTGTTGATCTTTGAGCCAGGCAAGCAACCAACCACTTTCAAAGTTTTATCATGAGAGATAATATGTATTTCTTGTAACCACTGTAATGGGGTATTCTGTAACTTGAAACTGATTACATTTTAACAGAGGACTCATTCAGTTAGCAATTATTTATCAGGTATAGTTTAATTAGGTAATAGTTTTTATTTTTGAACATTTAAATTATACTTGGTCCCCCATATGATCCCAAAGAAAGAATAATAATTATTAGTTGTATTTAACTAAAACAAAGAAATTAAAACCTCCCAATATATGTAGTATTTTTACATAAAATATTCTTGAAAATACTATAAATCTAGGACTTTTCAATAGATAAAACCAAGATGATTAGTCAAGAGTAATTGAGGACCAGGCATTATGGCACATGCCTGTAATCCCAGCAGCTCAAGAGGCTGCGTTGGAGGATGGCAAGTTCAAAGCCAGTCTCAGCAACTTAGTTGAGACTCTGTCTCTAAATGTTAAAAAAAGGGGGGGGGGAGGATTATGACTCAGTGGTTAAGCACCCCTGGGTTCGATCCCCCATGGCGGGGGGGAAGTAATTGAAGATTTTTCATTGATCAAAATTAGGCTGAAGCCCATACAAAATGATATGACCATATGGGAGCAAAATTCATATGACTAGCAAACTTTTATGAGCATTTACTAGGTGATAGGCACTGATTAAGCACTTAACATTAATGAAGTTACTCAGTCCTATGACATAGGTAACTTCCTATTTTATTCCTATTTTTATAATAGAGGTACAGGGAGGAAAGGCACGTTTTCCATTGTCGTGTGTGTGTGTGTGTGTGTGTGTGTGTGTGTGTGTGTGTGTGTGTTTTGGTGGAGGTTGCTTTTGGTTTTATTTGTGGTGCTGGGAATTCCACCTAGGGGCTTGCACATGCTATGCGAGTGTTCTACTGAGCTACATTTCTAGCCCCCAACCCCTGCTTTTTTTTTTTTTTTTTTTTTTTTGGTACCAGGGATTGAACCCAGAGGTGCTTTACCCCTGAGCTACATTCCCAGACCTTTTTATTTTTTTTTTATTTTAAGGCAGAGTCTCACTAAATTTCTAAGGCTGATCTCAAACTTGCAATCTTCCTATCTCAGCCTCTCGGGGATTGCAGATGTGTGCTACCACACCTAGATTCATTGCCCTATATCTTAAGTAGAAAAGTCAAGAACACGAACTCTTGACATTCCAGCTGCAAAACCTATGCATACTGCCCTATACTATTTTTCCTTAAGGGTATTGGACCCACATACCCCTCCTGAGTATTCTTATCTCAGGGAAGGCAGATACACTCTCCACACCTTCAGAGGTGCTTTTTAGTGGACAAGAACCTTTTTCATCTCTTATTTAATCAAGAACCACAGTAGGCATAGCAGTGGTATGTGCGGGGAGGTCCATTTTTTTATGCAGGAATATGAAGTTGGCTACTCTGAAGTCCAAAGGCAATCTGCTTCCCTCTTGGGAAACTCCAACTTGATACACAGTTTCTCTRCATCCAAGTTGCCTAATATTATGTTCACCTGATGTAGGAGACATCTTTTGTACATTCTTGGTGTTCCTTTTTCATTCTTTTAGCAACACTTTGCTCTTAGATTTGAAAACAGAGCAGTCTACTTACAATATTCTGCCTTCTTTGCTGGGGAAGTGGCAAACACTGTAACTATCCTGAAGCAACTTTTATATCTTCTGAAAGAAATGTTATAAAATAGCACTTTTTCTCTTCTTAAATTTCTAGTGCTCTTTCAGCAGCTTCCTGAATGGTCCACCCCTTAAGCTGGTTCTAACTACATCCTACAGGACAGAAATAGAGGGTTAAAGGTAGGACCAGTTAATCTCATGGTTTTCAATTTGTTAACTTTCTTGGCAGAAGAATGGGTTTCTTCCTACCAGAGCTAGAGAACTCTGCTCCAGCTTCTGCCTGCTGGGAAAATTTGGAGCTACCCTGAATGGGAGTGTCAGGGAGAGAGTCCTACTTCTGGTTGGATCAGTAGCCTTTGTCCTCAGAGGATGAAAGGGGCAATCAAGCCATGTTCACCTGATGTAGTGGACATCTTGTTATATTCTTGGTGTTCCTTCTGCATTCTTTTAGCAACACTTTCCCCTTTGCTTTGAAAAACTGAACTGTCTAATCTCAGTGTTCTCCTTCTTTGCCCCACTGGATTGATTGGAATCCTCACCTGAATATATAAAACAAGGATAGAGACACAGCTTCTCTCTTTCTCCCCTTGGACGGTGTAATCTATACAGATATGATTCCGAAGTGGCTTCAGTGCCATTTCCCTGTCCATGAGGCTACAGAGACGTGGACTCCGACAACATTGAATCCTTACAAGACTTTTTGTGTTCCTAGGAATACATATGCCCAAAGCTGTTTCTCTCCCTGTCCTTCCCAATTACATTAGCTGATAAAT